GATGGGTGGGTGGATGGATGTGTAGATGTATGGATAGATGGATGGGTGGATGGGTGGTTGGGAGAATATGGGCATTCAAGACAGAAGAGGACTGGGTTCAATCCTCAGCACTGCAAAGGAAAAAAAAGAAAAGAAAAGAAATCTGCTCAGACCCTAGCCTGGTCTCCTGGACACATTTCCAAATGCTTCAATAACCAAGACTACTTTGATCAATCAAGGCTAAAAAAGCCAATCAGGCTGCTATAACCAAGGCTGTGATAACCAACCATGGCTGCTTTAACCAACCAAGACTGGAATAAACAACTAATTCTGCAAGAAAAATCTAGACTGCTATAGCCAAACAAGGCTGCGTCAGCCCACAGCAGCCGGTCCCGCAGGGCAGTGAGTCCAGGGAGCAGGAGGCAGTACAGCCCGCCAGCCCCAGAACATGCAGCTTTCTAAGTGCTAAGTCTCTAGAGCCAGACGGATCAAAGAAGAGGAAATGAGCATTTGTGGGGAAAGTAATTCAGGTCTCTGTGCCTGGTGATTTAAAGTCAAACGTTCCCTGCACTCATAAAACACTCTTTAACTGCTTCAGTTACATAGGAGGGCCAAGAACTTTAATTGTAACTTATAAAACCTGCCCAGGGCCCCAGGCCGGATGAGCTCCCCCCCCCCCCCCCCAGGGCAGCGGAATCCCTAGAACGCAGAGGCCAGGCCGGGCTGGGCGCACGCAGATGTTACCTGGCCCTGCATGCACAGCACAGCAGTCGGGCGCGGCCGGTGCCCTGCAGCCCTGGCTCCCTCCTCTCCCGCTCCGCTCTCAGGAAACCTGAGCCCGCACACACCCTGCCCCGACCCTCGTCCCTTCCAACCTCCCCTTGGCCAGGCTTCCTGCCACGTCCCCTCTTCACCCCCTCCGCAGCCAGCTGCTCATGTCTGCCCTGTCCAGAAACCACTGAGGAAGCCTGCCCGGCCAAGGCCCCCGCCCCCACGGGAGGAGCCCTTGGCTGGCAAGGCCCCCAGGGCCAGTGATGAGAGCGTGCTGACGCCTGCTCTGGCCTTGCCCATTGCAGGCGGAGTCTCCCTCATCCTGACCCTCACCGGAAGTGGCGGCTGGTCAACCTGGGCCCTTGGGGACCAAGGTCCTCCCCTGGGGTCCTTGTCTGGCTGAGAACATGCCCCCACCATGCCAGGGCAAGCTGGCACAGGGAGCTCTAGTCACCGAGAGTCCTTTTCTAGAAAGGAGACACCGAGCGGTGGCGATCTGCGCCCTGGCCGCGGAAGGCCTGAGTTTTGGCTGAGATGCCGCTCCATGTCTTCCTCCCCTGCCCTCAGGTGGAGAGTCCACGGGCTCTTCCTCCTCAGCTGCAGAGCCACCAGGAGCATCTGGGAGGGTCTGGGTGATCAGAAGGCTGAGGGGTGCAGGCCAGGGCCTGGGTCCCCTGGGGTGTGGGCTGCAGCTGGCCGAGGCCACTAGACCACTGCAGGAGTAGCTGGACAGACAAGAAGCCACAGACAGGCAGCGGTGAGACGTGAAGCAGGAGACCCAGCGTCCCGCAGGGTGAATG